TGTCCAGGATAAACATCATCCAGGAAGCCCTCACCTAAAAAACCCAGGGCCATTTCCAGATTCCCTTTATATTTGGGGGGACAATAACAGGCATTGGCTTAAGGACAAATAAAGGGAAGGATTTCTCCCTCAACACAAAGGATGTGACCAAAGACATAGTAAGATTTGCTGTCTCTTAGCATAGTGCTAAGGGAGAATCAAAAATCCAGCAAGGGTGGGGCACGTAGGTGGCTCAGGTGGTTAAGCATCCAACTCCTGGTTTCGGCTCAGGTCATGATCTCACAGTTTGTGGGTTCGAGCCCCGCATCGGGCTCCGTGCTGACGGTGCGAGGCCTGGAGCCTGCTTCAGATTCTGTCTCCCTCTTTCTTTGCCCTTCCCCCACTCATGCTCTGTCTCTCTCTCCCTCCCTCCCTCTCAAAAATAAAAGCTGACTTCTCAGTACAACAGCCACAGTACTGAGATGCTCAGGTAATCCTCAGTTAACCCAGCAATTATGCTCGCAGGTATGTACCTAACAGATAATGTACACTGAGACTTTCCACGGAGACTGGAACGATAATGTTCACAGCAGCACCAGTCATAATGGCCAAAACCCATAAACTCCTCAAATACCCATCGACAGTAAACGTGTCAATTGTCACATAATGGAATACTACAGGACAGTGAGAATCACCTACAACTACCTCCAGAACTATGGAAGCATCTCACAAAATGTGCGATACCCAAGAGGATATTCTGTACAGTTCTTTTACATAAAATTCAAATACAGGCAAGTTAACCTGTGGTATTAGAAGTCAAGATAGTGGTTTTCTTGCTGGGAAGGGTACAGAACAGGAAGGGGCATCTGAGGTGCTGGCAATGCGGTTTCTTGATCTTGGTATGTGGGTGTTTTAAATCTGTGACACTCATTGAGCTGTACACTTAGCATTTGGGCACTTTCCTCCATTTATGTTATTCTTCAATAACAGTGATTCTCTGAATGGAGACAGTTCAGCCTCAGAACCAAAGCCTCAACTGATTTGGACAGGGGAGGTCCTTCTCTCCCTCCTGCTCCTCCATCATCCTCCAAATGCTTTGCAGAACTATAGTTTCCAGCCTTAGAAACCCACTGCTTAATGTAAGCAATGCCTTCCTCATCACACAGCAGGGAGGTGAGGGCACCCTGCACTGGGTAACCTAGGAACAGAGTGCCATGTGAGGAAGTGGGAAGGGAGATTAGAGGTTTGGGACCTGCTCCCCAAGCACAAGCTAACAGTGGTGTGCAACAGGCTTTAGCGACCTACCCCAGTCTGCTGCTGAGCCAGGAAGGCAGCCAGCCAGGCTCAAAGCCCGATTTCCCAAATAATTCATTCCTGAGGCAGATTTATTTGGCCCTGTGAAATCCCACTGGATTTAAAATCCTGGCCTGACTGCTGACTGCCCCCGTGACCTCACACCAAGTTGCTTACCCTCTTTTACAACAAAAGGGAGTTACCACCACCTGCTTTGCAAGACAATCGTAAGCATAAAAAATATTGGACTATAAGCTCCCCAAGGGCAGGAGCTTAGTTTTGTTAATTGCTTTAGCCGCAGTTCTAGAATCCTGCCTGATACATGCAGATGCTAAATATACGTTTACTGGAAGAACAAAATGTAAAAACAGAGGACATGGCCCAGGCTGGAGGCCCCAAAACAAAAGGCAATTTTTACACAAGTTCAAATAGCCAAACCATCTTGAAGTGAATTCATGCTCAGTCAGATTCATTACTGAACTTTGAAGTTTCCTACCAAAGCTAATGAGGGTTAGCTTTAATCTTACTCAAACACTGACTAAGGGTGAGTTGAACCTGCTGAGGGACAGTAATGAAGTACTGGGTTTCTTTTACTGTAATTAAGCTGCCTCTCTCAACTGTTTGCCATTAATGATGTATAGACCACAGTTAGGTCAATCACTTTTAATCACTGTACTAATACCATGCAAATTCCTTCCTCCCACCTCTTCTTTGTCTTAGCTTCCAGACCACACTTGAAGGCAGCCCCCCAGACTGTGGGGTGGGGGTGGGGAGAACATTCCAACTCTTCCTCCAGATTAACCTCTTGCTCTTAGTCTAGGCACCCAAGCCCCATCACTAGGACACTTAGAGACTGTATCAAAGCCAGTTTCCCTACAGGAATGTTTCTGGAAAACCTTACGATAAGAATGAACAAATGATTAATTGCTCTTAGGACAGGGGGTGCTAACCGGTGTCTTTAGGATCTGGCGCTCCAACATTCTACTTCATTTCATCCACTTCCCACTTTCTGGTAGTAAAAAGTGCCACTGAACTCAGGAGTCAGAAACTTCCATTCAAGTCACTGTAGTAATGACTTTCGTGAAGCCACAACCACTCAGGTTTCATTTGTAAAATAGACCTTCAGCAGATTGTCATGATTCACGCGAACACCTACTGGGCATCCTGTGAAGTATCAGGTCCTGGGAATAAACCTAAAGGTACAAGTGGTGTTTGTGACCCTCATGGAAGCTCATGAGCTGTTCAGCCTAGCAAACTGAATCCATTAAGCTGTTCCTGTTTCTCCACCTTTAAAACCTCCAGCAGGGCTGGGCTACAGGTTTTCTGAAGTACCAACTCTGAGATTAAGAGCTCAAGCTGTTTAATAGTTACCTTACCAGCTTTGAGAGAATGTCAGGAGGACAAAGCAAGCTCAGAGTTGTGGAAGTGCTTTGAAGAGGAAAGTGCACATGCAAACAAGGTATTAATTATATCAGATAATTTCTCTGAGCTCGACTTCATAGACACCTGTGATATTCATAACCCAGGGGCGAACAACAGAGGCAATTGTTCCTTAGCAATAAGGAAACTTGTCTGCTTGGCCAAACTTGAGAGTTTGTATGTACCCTAAGGATAACCCTTTCAACATGGCTGGATCCATCCTGTGCAGAGAGGACAGAGAGCCTGGAGTGGAGGTGCGGAGGTAGAAAGATGTCAGCAACTGAGGACTAAGAAGAGAAATGCCAGTATTTTCTGTTGAGGTGTCTCAATTAGTTGAGACCAATTGGACTGGGAAACTTGCTTTTACTTAAAAAAGAAGGCAACAGTCTATTTCACAGGAAAACCACTCTAAGAACCAGTCATGTTGCAGGGAGGCTCAAGGTTAGCCAAGCACATTAACCTCCCCCCTTTTTTTTATAACCCAGGTGTGCTCCTGGCATGAACCCACCATTTTCACAACCATAAACCAGACATCCAAGAAAGCAGAATTTTCTCAAAAGGTTTAAAATGCCTGACGTCACTGGGAAGCATTCACCAGCCAACCGGACCATGAAATCGAAAACCTGATCACCGCTTCCCCTCGACAACCTCAAGCTTAGTGAAGTGACAGTTAATCTGATATTTCTTGCTTCAGTAAGAAAGATAAGGCACAGTCAACACTCAAAAGCCACGAGATTGTAGCCAGAGAACTTGACAATGAGGGGGAGTACAGATCTGGCAGAGGTCTGGTTAGCAATAAAGCTTCCTCAGGGAGCCGGAATTGGATTTGGGGCCCTGCCCAAGGTAACATTTTTACAGGTTGGCTGAGTTGCAGTTTGTTAGCCAGTCAGTAATAAACCCATGTGCAAGAATTTAAAGTTTATGAGGCATGGCCTCTTAATGCCTCTGCTTGGCTCCCTACAGCCAAGAGTTTAAGGAGCCTGGCCTAGCCTGGGTGTTAATTGTTTTGTCAATCTGCAGGGTTATTTGGGGGGGGGGGGGGGGGGGGGGAGAGAAAAAAAAAAGGCCCCCACAAACTCCAGACCCCAGTCCCCTTTTGGAGAAACAAAGGAGAGCCATCTGTCCCCTAGGCACTGACACCCCAACATTCAAACTGTGGAAATTTGTATGTGGGGTGAGGGCTATGCTGACGAGGACATTAGATTAATGCTAGGTGGCAACAGTTTTTAGTTGTTTTGAAAGCCAGGTAAACTGTAGGTCCTCTCCCTGGGAAAATGCATACACAAATTCTTAAACAATCTCACAGGTTAGGGATCCTCTGGAACCCCACCCAAGGATCCTGGGTAATAGCTCTTTTTAAGAACTTGGGTTTGATCCGTGGAGAAACCCCCACTGTCCTGGATGGAGGGAAAGGGGCCCCCATCAGCCGGCAGCTGCAGGGGTTTCCTAACACCAAAGTGACTCCCCACTCTCCAGTTTTTGAACTTGTGGGGGGGTGGGGGTGGGGAGAGGGAGACACAAGTAAACTGGGTGATCAAAAACATGCTTTGATCACCCAACCACCGCCCCCTCAGCTCAAGACCTTCCAGCTTGGGACCCCCCCCCCCAATTCCCCCAAGTACCCTAACATTCCAGTCTCAACACGGGGGTGGGGTGGGGCGGGGGTGTCCCCAAGTGCGTGATGGCCCCAGCCCAGGTGTGCCAAGCCCAGTTTCCAGGAAGGCTGCGGGGGCTCAGGCCCTCCGGGAAGGGCAGGGTTAAGAGTGCATTCCAGAAGGCGGGGAAGAAGGGGGGCGGAGGAGGGGAGCGCGAAGAAGAGAAACAGACCCGGTCTGTCTGTCGGGAGACACAAAGCACGGTACACAAAGGGGGCCCGAGAGGGGCGAAGGGGGCTGCCCGGGGCACGGCTCATCCCCACACCTGCGCGGGCGTTGGGGGAGGAATGTGGACCGCGCATTCCTTTGCTGGGGCCAGTGGGGGAGAGCTTCCCACGTCCAGGCTGGGTGAGGAGCGCAGGCGCCTCGCACCCCGAAGCAGGTCAAGGTAAGCCGCCGCAGAGGGGCAAAGAGGGGTTGGACGTCAGAGGGCGCTATGCTCTCCATCCTCCTCGGTCCGCCATCCACCCGCGCGTTAGCCCCCGAGAGCCTTTCTGCGCCTTCTCCATACCTGAGGCGAAGCCGGCGGCGCCAGAAGTCCCCCGCCCCGGCCTGGACACCCCTCGCGCGGATCACACCGCGGCGGACCACGTGCGACCCCCCGCGCTGCGGTTCCACGGGGCTACCTCCCGGAGGGTCCTACCTCTCCTCGGCGCCTGGCCGGGCTCCAGCTCCGCGCCTCCCGACTCCAAAGTCACTTCAGCTTCCCCGAAGCCCGCCCGGCACGGCTCGGAGGCCACGCGAGGCAGCCAGCAGACCTGCGCCTGAGGGAAGAGGGGGAAAGAGGGAGGCCGGGTCACAGGCATGCCCGGTTTCTGCATACCCATCCCCAGATTCCTTACTGGCCTTTCAGGGCCACCTTGACTCCAAAGAGCCCAGCCCCGCACTCTCCCCGACGCCACCACCGCCTGCGGACCCCACACAGCCAGAACTGCCCGGCCCGGGCTAGGGCAAGACAGTGGAGTACCTGAAGGAGGAGGAGGAGGCGGAGGAGGAGGGACGCGAGAAACCCATTAGGGAGTCCCATGGCTGGAGAGAGAAGAACGAAGCTGCCGCGACGGCGGGCTAGCGCTCGGCTAAGCTTTCCGCTCCCCTTTGCGAGCAGCAGCCCGCGGGAGCGAGCGGGAGGGGGCCAGGTGAGCGCAGGTGGGTGCTGATTGGTCCGGCGCCGCAGGGTCCCGCCCCCTCGCAGGTGGGGCCGCGGCTGACTTGGTCGAGGCACCGGCGAACGCCCTCCGGTCCTCTTTGATGCCTTCCAGCGATCCCTCGGCTTTTCTGGAGCTCCTCCCGGCAGGCGCGGAGGCCTTGTCTCACAGATTCCGGGTTCGAGGGGAAAAGACAAAAAACGAACCAACAAAAACCCACCCCGTTCCTCAGCCTCCGCAGCACGCGAAGAAAAATGTTTTGTGCCTTGCGGCTACAGTGGAAAAAACAGTGGAGATGCATCTGAACCCGACTGGAAACAGAGGCGCCCCATTCATACTCCCCCGAGGCATTCTGTTATCCAAAGCTTTGATGGAGGCCGGGTGTGTCCGCCCCACACCCGGCTACAGCCCGGGCTGCCCACTGCCTCTTTCACCACCTCCCACGCCAGCCAGCCCGCTTCGAGGACACAGAGTAAGGTTTAAAACTGGCAGTGAGGTGCAACTTGCGGAAGACTCGTTACGTCCACTGCACAGCCGAACAAATGGAGGCTGGAGAGAAGGTCCCAGTTTGGGACAGAGTTCGGAGGCTGTCGTGGGGCCCACCTGGGCAAGGTAGAGGGGTGGTTATTAGCCCCACCATCTCTAGCAATCCCCTTCCCCCATTAAATATAAATAACACTTTCTCAACTTTAGGTAACTTTTATTTTAAGTTTTTTAGTGTTTTTGAGAGAGACACAACGCAAGCGGGGGAGGGGCAGAGAGAGAGGGAGACACAGAATCCAAAGCAGGCTCCAAGCTGTCAGCACGGAACCCCAGGTGGGGCTGGAACCCACCAGCTGTGAGATCACGACCTGAGCAGAAGTCAGATGCTTAAGGGACTCAGCCACCCAGGCGTCCAACTTTAAGTAATATTTAAATAAAAACTTAAAAAAAACATAAAGACATTTACCTGTTCCTGAGTGGTTCAGTTGGTTGGGCGTCAGACTTCATTTGGCTCAGGTCTTGGTCTCAGGGTTCATGGGATTGAGCCTGCTTGGGATTCTCTCCCTCCCTCCCTCTGTCTTGTCCCTTCCCACCCCACCTCAAAATAAAAAATAAAGACTTTTCAAAATGTGGCTGTTTTTATTGATCTGAAATACTGATATAATATAAGTGAAAACTGTTATATGCAAGCAGCCTTCCAGTGAGCCTCCTTTGGCAACCACTCTCCCACCACCCTTCTCCCATCAACCTCCTTGAGAAATGCTGAACCGCCCAGCGGGGCTGGGATTTAGACCTACTTTAGACCTGAAGTGCTTCCCTCTTCAGGAAACACAACTGGGCCCCAGGCACAGAAACTGTCCTGAGACTCAGTCCCTCCACTCTGCCAGCCTTCTCCCAATCAAGCCGAGTTTCCCCATCTTCCGGTTCCTTGAGGTCTCTCCACCTTCTCTAGATGCCCTGAGAACCCAAGCTGACACCTCCTCGACACTCTCCTTCCTCCTCCCCAGCTCAGATTCAGGGGTTTGAGGAGGGGACTAGAGTCTCTACTTAGAGATTGTTTGGCCCTCAAGGGCTAACCTGGTGGCCTCCCTGGCTTTCCAACTACCAGTCCTGTGGCTATGAGGATGACACTTGCCATGAGACCATGGTAGTCCTCTCTCAAGCTGAGCATCAGCTCTGGGGCCCTACCACCTGTGTTCAAACCTGTGTTCCACCACGATTAGTGCTACAGCCTCGGGCAAGTGAAATACCTCTTTGAGGCTCAAATGGGACTGTGAGCATCAAATGGGACTATTAAAACATCTGCCCTGTAAAGTACTAGGATTAAGTGAGTTAATACATATAAATGAGGATTAAATTAATACGTTTAAAACCAAATCTCAGTACCTGGCACAGAACAAGTGCCCAAATGCTGCCTGGTATTATTGCTTTAGGATCTGGCTCATTTGTCCTCTGCCTCGTGAGTGGTTTCTCTCCTCCTTAGCACCCTCACATTCCCCAAAATAAGAAATGAGAAACACTGCAACCCTTCAATTTCACGGCTGATGGTAGAAGCAAGCAATTGGCATCTGGTGTTAAGGGAGAGCTCCTTTATCTGGCCTGTGGTCCCAGCAGCTGTGGGTTGGGCGTGGACAATGCAGGAATAGCCTGAGGCAGCTTGCTGAGCTCCAAGCCTGCCTTGCTTGCCCCGCTCCCCCGCAGGGGTCGCTTCCCGCCCTCCGCAGGGGTCGCTTTCCGTGCAGGAGAGAAGGTTAGATGTCCGTGCTGGGGAGCATGGTGGCAGCGAAGACTCCAGAGGGTACCCCGTGGCTCCACCTATCTTTGCCTCGAAGGTTCCGCTGAGCCGGCCCGGAACCAGATGAAGCCATTAGGTGGACTGTTAAACACAGACGAGCCTCGAGATACAGGCCCTAATTAAGTAAACACCCGGCTAGAGGGCTGTTGAGCGCGCTCATTTCCGCCTCCTTCTAGGGCACTCAGCATTCCGGGAGAGGGCGGGGAGAGGAGAAATGGAGAGTCAGCTCTTCTGCCTGCAACTTGGACCACACTCCTGGCTTCTTTGTGGCTCCCCCTTATTGGTCATTTATTTATTCATTCATTCATTCAACAAATATTTGCTGGTAGCATGCTATGTGCCAAGCACTGGAGATACAATAGAGAACAAAACAGATAACTCTGCACCCTTGGACCTTCCATCCTCAAGTGTGGGGGTGGGGGGAATCAAGGAAAATAACCAAATAAGTAAATGTATGTTAGATAATTCATGCTGTGTAGATGAACAAGAACCAAGTGGGAAGTGCCAATTCATGAGACATAAGGTAGGGTTGGAAATTGTACATAAAGTGATCTGGAAGGTGTTTCAGTCAGGGTCCAGCAGAAGACAGACTCCAGGTCAAGTGGTTCAAGCCTTAGTGAAGGGACTAGAGGAATGGGCAGGGTTTAGAGAATCAAGAGGGATGTTGAGGCACCAGGGACCCACAACAGCAGAAAGGCCTTAGAACTTTGAAGCCTGAAGGGCAAAGGGAAGAAATGGTGTCATTGAAAGTTGGGGGTTGGGGAAAGCTGGAGAATGAAGGACCACCCCTCCCAGATGCAGCTGGTGTCCAAGTAGACACAGGCACTGCCCAGAGCAGGGAGGATGTGGGAAAACTCCAACATCTCTCTCCGTTTGCCATTCATCTCCTGGCAGCGCTTCCCATGGACTAAACCCACCCAGAAGCCTGAGGGCAAGAAAGCCCAAGTAGTGGAGTGTCTAGGGGTCATTCTCCCCAGTCACATGGCAGGATGGGGGAAGACAGAAAGAAAATGGATGAGGGGTGGGTGAGCAAGGGGCAAAGTCCAGAGGCCTCAATGAGAAATGGACATTTGAACAATACCTGAAGGAAGTGAAGAAGCAGGTTACACAAGGATTCTGAAGAAAGAGTATGCCAGGGAGAGAAATCTGGGCAAAGGCCCTGAGGCAGTAGTTTACTTGGGACAGAAAAAAAAAAAAAGAGAGAGAGAGAGACAGTGGCTGGAGTAGAGTGAGCAAGTAGGAAATGAGTCAGAGTTGGAAGGGTGGGGAATAAATCATAGGCCACTGTCAGAACTTGGGTTTTACTGAGTGGGAAGGAAGGAAGGCACTGGAGACCTTGAGCAGAGGAGTAGTATTGAGACCGCAGAGGATGAGGGTAGAAGCAGGCAGGTCAGCTGGGATCCTACTGCAATCATCCAGGCAAAAACTGAAAAGGCTTGGTTTAGGGTGGACATTATAGAAGGGATAAGAAATGATCAGATTAAAAAACAAAACAAAACAGAAAATAACAAGTGTTGGTGAGGATATGGACAAATTGGAAGGTTTGTGCATTGTTGGTGGGAACGTAAAATGGTGTAGCCAGTATGGAAAACCGTGGAAAACAGCATGACAGTTACTAAAAAAATTAAAAATAGAATTGTCATATGGTCTAGCAATTCCACTTCTTTTTTTTTTTTTTT